TAAACCCGAAACCCTCAGTTCTAAACCCGAAACCCTAAATTCTAAACCCTAAACCCTAAACCCTAAACCCTAAACCCTACATTCTAAACCCTAAACCCTAAACCCTAAACCCTCAACCCTAATTCCTAAACCCTCCAAGGGATCCACACCGAAAGGGCACCGATCTTCCAACAACGAGCCGGTTCCCGGAAGCCCGGCGTCAAAGAGCGGAGGCTTGGCGCGCTCATTCAGGGGCTGTCCTTAAGGGGTTCGGGGTTTAGGGTTTAGGGTTTAGGGTTTAGGGTTTAGGGTTTAGGGTTTTAGAGTTTAGGGGTTTAGGGTGGTTCCTTTGAAGGGATCTATAAGGTTTCGGGGCTCCTTTGAAGGGATCTGTAAGGGGTTTCGGGGGTTCCTTAGAAGGGATCTATAAGGGTTCTGTAAGGGGCTTCGGGGTTCCTTTAAAAGGATCAATAAGGGTTCTGTAAGGGGTTTCGGGGTTCCTTTGAAGGCATCTATAAGGGTCCTGTGAGGGTTTCGGGGTTCCTTTAAAGGGATCAATAAGGCAATAAGGGTTCTGAAAGGGGTTTAGGGCTTAGGGCTTCCTCAACCCTAAAACCTAAACCCCAAACCCTAAACCCTAATAGGGGATTCAGGGTTTAGGGGCTGTAGGGGTTTAGGGCCTCGGGCTTGCGATCTAGGGTCTGACGGAGATCAGGGATTCGGGAGTTTAGGGTTCAGGGCTTGGGGCGGGTTTGGAGCTCAGGAGTTAAGGGTTTAGGGTGTAGGAGTTGAGGGTTTTGGAGGTTAGGAGTTTACGGTTGAGGAGTTTAGGGTTTAGGAGTTTAGGGTTGAGGATTCAGGAGTTTAGGGATTCAGGGTTTAGGGTATGAGGGTAGTGTTGAGTGTTTAATGTTTTCGGATGGTTCTACAATACAATACAAAGACTCTAAGGGGGCTTAGGGCTTTGGGGTTGTGAGGGTCCCCTGGGTGAAACCTTACAACCAGATCCCGCCAACCCGTCTATACTATATGTTGCTGGGCCTGGCGGGCAGGCAGAAACTGATCGAACTATCGACTATCTTTGTCATGCGACACTGATGTTGGGGGACAAATTCAACCGTCTGCGAAAGAGGCTCCCACGTACGGGGCAAAAGCGTGGAGCCACGTTGACACGTACTCCTCGGTCACCGCATTCTCGACAACTCCGTTCTTGAAGTGAACCTGCAAAGTATAGTGTTCAACTAGTCTGTAGTAGTATACAATAGCATTAAACCTTAGCAAAGCATATTGTGCATGTTCAGGTCCTTAGTAAGACACTGGAAGGATATGGAAAGCAGGTTGCCCTCAAATCCTGTGACCCCCAAAGTGCCGAGCTGCAAACCTTGCCGACGAAGCCAAAACACCCTACTTGGAGGATCACGGGACTTAGTAAGTAAGGTCATAACTACCTTAATTGGGGTTTTATTACTTATAAGTATAGCTACCTTGTTTATAACCCTTGTTGCTGCTTGTTGCCTAGTCCCATGATCCTCTAAGTAGACGGCTGGCAGAAGCCATCAGAAGCTCCTTAACTGAGGAATTACATTAACCCTTAAGGCTCTGAGGACTCACATGTCAAGGCTGTTGGCCCCAAAGACCACAGGGCTATTTTGAGCCTTTGGGTAATGGAAAAGCCTACTGCAGGGGCTCGGCTGAACCGGCAACGACCACCACAACCAGCAACAACAACGACGACCACAACAAGGCAAACCACGAACGAGGACCGCTTCCCCGGGCGAAAGTGACAGCAAAAATAAACCTGATGACGGCAAATCTAAGTTTAATGATCGTGGCAGCAATGTGAGAACTACGGTAGGTGTTATCTGACAGACGAGTGTTCGTTGTCCTGATCCCAGGGCATCATCCTAGTATTAATCGGCAACTTCATCTCCTTCCTCTTCGCCACGATCATGACATTACAAGCTCATTTAACGAAAGCAAGTTCGAACCGGCGGCATCATGTCGTCTCCACTTGCCTGTAACTTGGAGCCATCCGAGGTGGGCGAAGCAGTGTCGACGGTGTACTGGTCGCTTTCGAACAGGGTTTGCGCCTGTCGAGAGGAACAAGGAGGCAGGGCTGGGATTTTGGATTTAGGCTTTGGGGTTGAAGGTTTAGGATTTCGGGGAGGAGAACACAAAGAGAGGGTTTGGCAGGGTTTAGGGTTTAGGGTCCAGGTGGAGACACGTGCAGGACTGAAAAGCTTTCGCTAAGCAAGTCAAGCCCGAACATCATGCCCGCCACTTCGTACACCCTAAACCCTAAACCCTAAACCCTAAACCCTAAACCCTAAACCCTAAACCCTAAAGCTCCTCTCGCATCCGGGTGTAGGGTGTAGACAGGCCTGACCTAGGCTCCCAAGCACCTTCTGTGGTGAGCCTGTGGGTCGGATTCAAAACCCTAAGGGTCCATGTACCCAAATAGTAGAACATTGGCCCTAAAGTACCCATATAGGGACTACATTAAGGCCAATGTTCTACTATTTGTGTACATGGACCCTTGGGGAAAACAACCGGCAGACGATGCACTTATACGTACTCTCTTGTATGCACACTGCATATGTGCAGAGAGTCCTTTGTAGCACGCATACACATATATGCATCCATGCATACGTACATGCTTATATGTATTACATACATACTTTGCAGGTATCTATATATATATATATATACATCTATTTGGTATAAGCAGATGATACCAGAAATTTCATAGCGACCATCATTTATTCCGACCCCTATATCTGGCAACTGGGACTAGAGGAGCTTGTCTTGCACTTGATGATGAAACCAGGCCTGCTTGGGGGGTTGTTTCGGGTTTACGGCTTAGGGTTGCGAAACCATGACCCACACAAGCAAAACAGTGTCAACAAGCCATATAGCCGCACAAAACTGTTTTGATTGAACCTTGACCAATCCTCAAGCCTAAGATCCAAACTGCAAATCTTTTCAATCCCTACAAAACCCGGATAAGGCACTATTGCTTGGTTCTTTATAGTATTATAATTCTAGGAGCTACAGTAAGCCCAGCGTGCTCTTGACAACTGGAAAGCCCTTCAACAAGACAAACACGACTCGGGCTGGTGCCGACTTGCGGTAGAAATCACTGCCGATGAGACTGGGATGAGAGTCCTGGCTTTTATGTTGCTTATGAGATGCAAAGGGGTCTTTGTCAGGTTTTACCAATGGAATTCTGAAAGGAGCGTTTCTTATACTATAGTACTTCATTATAGGGATGCTCATAATAAGGATGCCACTGTTCGGCATCGATATCAGGGATCCCCCTAAACCCTAAACCCTAACCCCAAGACCTGAACCGCCGAATTTAAAGAATCCTTGGCCTCCATGCAGTCCCTAGATGGGTACTTTCCCAGAGACTCCAAAACTCCTTCCCAGACCCTCAAAAGGATCTAAAATATAGATCCCCTAATTATGGACCCTAACTACTAAAGGGTACTTTATAGGAACCCCCTTAGGGGATCTATTTTTGAGATCCTTTTGGGGGTCTGGGTTATTGAGTAAGGAATATACCTTAAATCATATGAGGCATCCTGGTATAATTTCAGGTGTCTTCCTTCAGTAAGGGTTTTTGGAGTCTCTGAGTTCGGCCAAAAACATGGACTTTATGAAGACATGGACCCTACGGTGATGGATCCAACAGGACCCTGTAGACCGAATGTTCTTCGAACGGCAAGCCGACAAGCCCCCGCAGCCTAAAAGCCCCTGCACATCCATCCGCACAAAAACGGATTCTATACTGAACTTAGACCCCTAGCAAACATTATAATTTTAGCTGCTTCTTAGGGTTTATAATAACCAAAGATTAAAAATTATTTCTAAGTACCCCTAAGGATTAGGGTTTAGGGTTCAGGGACAAAAACCCGGTACACCCACCCTCACAAAACCTAACGCCTAAGGGTGCATGTACCTCTTTTCTGAATACTTTGGCGCTCAAGCAGTTAGTGACTCAAAGCATAAACTGTATGGGTACATGGACCCTTAGGGTTCCGAAGATCGCTACGGATTGCTCTTTCTCAGAAGGGTTACCCTCAGGGTCCATGTACCCAAATAATATATTTTGGCCTGAAAGTAGTCCTTATATAGGTACTTTGGGGGCCCCCGGGGGCAATGTATCCACTATATGGGTACATGGACCCTCAGGGTTATAGAACCCGTTCAAGTTAGAGAACCAAGCTTCGGCAGGCTCTGAATCCCAAAGCAGCCCTAAAAAGTGTAAAGGGGTTCATTTGAACGGCTCTGTGAGCAGTTTCTTCAAGGGGCTACCTAGAGATTCCGAAACCCAATAAATAAGGAATATATATATATATATATACTGCAATAGGACCCCGAATATGGTTTAAGGTGTCATTACGGAATATACTTTAAGCTACAATAGGATCCCTGATGTGATTTAAGGTATATGCCTGAACTAAGGGATATTGGAAGCCCTGGGCAGTTCCTTTAAGGGGCTATCAGAAGTTATTTTCAGGATGGGAGTCGTTGGCCCGCCAAACCGCAAGCGATGTGTCCTCAGCCCTGTACCAAAAAATCCGTACATGGTATATGAGCCTTGAACCCTGTTGGGATTCATCTCGTCCTTAAGGCAAGTGCTGGTGTGTGCTGCGCGGACGCATCATGACATAATCTGTTGAGGCTTCGATCTCTAGGCATAACTCCAAAACTCCCAAACCCGGAGTCTACAACAAACCTTATCAAATCTGGTAGTAGTAGTAGTAGTAGTCGTCGTCGTCGTCGTCGTCGTCGTCGTCGTCGTCGTCGTAATAATCGTCGTGGTGGTGGTAGTAGTAGTAGTAGCAGTAGTAGTAGTAGTAGTAGTAGTAGTAGTAGTAGTAGTAGTGATAGTAGTAGTGGTAGTAGTAGCGGTAG